GTCCATGGGCGTAGTAAATTGAATATTAATATTCAAATAAATTGTAGGCAATATTTCTTATAGACAACAGCATTTTTAAGTACGAGAAGTGTACTATTGGTAAAATCAAGATTTACAAACATGATTTATTATTCACATGTTATCGCAATTTTTCAGTGATTTCCGGTATTTTGACAAAAAAAGTTTCCAACAAAAATTAATTAGTTTTCTATGAACACCAAATACAAACAATTAAAAAAAGAAAACATTTTTTAAGATAACAAATTACAGTCACCTTATCACCGATTTGATTATTGTTACTATATCTTTTTCACTTACTAATGTTATAGCTGACGTCAAGACAAATTCAACGACCTATACGAACCTGCCTTTACGTCGTAAAACATTGCTTAAATTGTGAACAGCTAATTCATCGATTGGGACCACTGTGCGTCGCAGAGGAAACCTCATTTCAATCATGTCGAATTTCTGACATGCAATTTGATATATTTGATGAAAATATGTAATTACGAATAAAATCCGACCGATGGAATCAAAGTGCAAAACGGAAGTAAATGAACGTTGATAAACGATTTTTTGTGTACATATTTTTTTGACGTTTCAAACTCATCGTTAACGAATACGAACAATTTATTTTAACGCGTGTATTTGAGGTATTCAAAAAATTGATCATCTTCCACTGCCTTTTCTACTAACTACTGTAATAATTCCTAACTCGTGTGCTGGGGAACTGCTTCAATTTCGAGGACGCTGTTCTGTCAGTGAGCGTGTTAAGGAGCATACGTAGTAATAAAAAGATCTGATACGCTGGCTCTAGTGGACCATAACTTTAACGACTTTCGTTCAGAATTCAGGGCAAACGTAAACCGTTCACTTATCACCTAACCGAATTCCATGTAACATTCGACTCATCCTCGCCTGTTAAACGACTCGTATCGAGGGAAAGTCGGGCGTCTTCACATTGTTAAAACGTTTTGTTCTACCCGTGATCGTCGAAGTGAAAGCGCAGATAAAGCGGACGAGAGTTCTGAACGTTGAGGCGAGTACCAACTATACAATAAAATGGCCCAATGAAAGGTCTCTGGCGTGCTCGCGGGAAAATTCTGCGTAACGTAAATCGGAATTTACAGTTTAATTCTCTAGTAGAGGGCCATATTCAATGCGCTGCGGTTGTCGTACTTTCAAATTGCTTGGAAAATTGCGTTACACATGGCGAAATTCGTTTAAATTGCGAATAAAACCTCGCGATTGATTGCGAAACGCATTGCACGGCTTGGTTAGCTTCACTGGCGCACTATGTTTTTAAGACTTTTTTCACCTCGATAAGCATGGTCCGTCAAAGTAATTGCACAGGGAGCATTGAGAATAACAGACTTTACGTGGAAAATATTGAACTTGTCGTATAGAATCAAATAGAAGAAAAGTAAAATTTATTAGTTTAATTTTATTAGTTTAAATTTATTACTTTAAAATTCATAAACGCGGATTAATGTTTTTGACGTTTTCACTTTCTCTAACTATGATAATTTCTCGCTTAAACATTAATGTTACGTGCGTCCAGAAGTCAATTTGTACTTGCGATATTTTTGTAAACATTGAGATTTCATGAAATTTAAAATATAAGATAATCTTCGTGTAATTGCTGATATTCTTTTGTACCGACACTGAAACGATATTACTCGCCACGATCTTCAAACATTGACTTCAACGGTAAACGTAGGAAAAGACTTTGTAGGTGTTATCCGAGTATTTCAGTTGTCTTAAAACGTTCGAAGGGAATGTAACTATTGGGGCGAGATACATCTCTGAAGTATCCGCACAAATGGTTAGTGCAACCCTCGGCAGAAGACGGTAAAAGGCGGCCAATGATACCATTTCACGAACAGATGTTGGATAAAAACCAGAAGTAACTTTTGAAGGATTAACGAGAGAGAATTATATCCAGCATGTTCTGTAGTTGCTCGTCTCTCAGTATTTATTTTCCGCTAATGTACGCATCAAAAAACGCCGCATTATTTACGGCGTGATTTCATCTAATTGAAATTTCTGCAGTGGAAAACAATGAAATGCTATTTTCATATGATCTTGATTACAAAATACATGCATTAAATAACAGGAAAACACGGTAAAATACATTTCTCTGCTTTCGCTTTGTTTTACAATGTCTGTTGAATATTAATTTAATTAATATTTATCTAATATCGATGACAAAATAAACCGGTTATTATCACATAAACATTTCAGATTCAGCAATTTTAAAACTGAAACTTCTACAATTCCATTTGAATTAAAATCATTTTGATAACGCCACTCTTTTTACTTCTATATACATTTTCCAACATTTCTGTTAAATACTGTCTCCCGAGTCATACAGAGTGTAGAAGATTGTAAAAAATCTCGTAGTTGTCCTTTATTATTTCGATTGCAGAGTCAAACAGTGCTACTAGTTTTTCAATGTGCGGACGATTCCAAGGTTATTTCAAGATTGTCTTGCTTTTTCTGATCATAAACCTATATTTTTTATTTAGGAATCATATTCTACGTAAACAAATAAATAACTTTTGTTTGAAACATTTTTTTGTAAGTTAAATAGTTTTCAAGATATTTAACTGATTTTCCATGTTTATGTCGAGGATAATTTCGTTATTCTATTAAAATAACATCATTACATTCCTCTGGACGGTATTTTACCTCATTTAAGGACGTCACGCTCCAAAAAAATGTTTCAAACAAAAGCTGTGCACTTTTTTACATAGAATATGATTTCGTAATAAAAAAAATATAAAAGAAGTGTCAATCAACGCAGCTGTTAAAAAAAACTTAAAGCAAGGGATGAAAATTATGCAGGTGATGCAGATAAATAATTAACCTAAATTGTTAGCAACTTGTAGAATGTGCAGATGAGTACCCTTGTGAAGCAAAAAGTGGTCAAACTTAAAATGTAGCAGTGATTTCATTAGCAAAGTTGTTGGCTGCAGAAGTTCATCTTACGCTACATCCAAGTCTAATGTAAGCCTGAAAGAAATATTTGCGAAAAGTCTCGCGAATTTCTCTTGCCAAGTACTAAAATGGTCGCCCGGAGTAGCTCAGAGCGAAAAACCAGTCAGTGTTGCATGGGCGCTCGGAAGACTGAGCAAGAAACGTAATTGCGGGATCATTTGTTTCAGTTCAGAAGAATCAGTGAAGTAGATTTAAAGTTTCGCTAGGGACGACTATCGTTTTTCCTCTTCAATCTCTGCTTCACGAGCTTGATATCCGGACGGGATTTCAAATCTTAGATCTTTTCATTTGATCCTGAAGCTTTCCAGCGACGAGTCACGTGATCTTGAATAACACTTTCGCCGAATGAATCTCGCAAGGAACTCTGCATAATGACAGTTCAGGCTTCTCTTTGATCCCAAGAGTTCTCCGAATGCGCAAGTAATTTGAGGAAATAAAAACAAATTTATTTATTTATATATATATATTGCTTGAGCAATGAATTCGAACTGCTCATCAATTTCAATGTCTTTCGTACTCGAAATCGAATTGACTGTCACACATAAATCAGAATTGGACAGCAAGAAATCTGGTTAAAGAATAACGATTATGACTAGCGTGAGATCATGTTCAGGACTAATAATTATGATCACTAAGTAATTCAGTAATTATGATCGATGAATATCTTAAGTAACCAAAGCAGATGGTTGGCCATGATTAACACAGTAATCGTTAATTATGTAATAATTACATTTTCTTTAACTGAAAAATTTGGTATTGCGGAGATGTGTATAAGAGACAGGTAATCGTTAATTATGTAATAATTACATTTTCTTTAACTGAAAAATTTGGTATTGCGGAGATGTGTATAAGAGACAGGTAATCGTTAATTATGTAATAATTACATTTTCTTTAACTGAAAAATTTGGTATTGCGGAGATGTGTATAAGAGACAGGTAATCGTTAATTATGTAATAATTACATTTTCTTTAACTGAAAAATTTGGTATTGCGGAGATGTGTATAAGAGACAGGTAATCGTTAATTATGTAATAATTACATTTTCTTTAACTGAAAAATTTGGTATTGCGGTAGTTACCGCTAATTTTAAATAGTTTTTAGAAAATCTGCATCTGACTCAACAAAATACAGTAAATCCTCCCTAATCGATGCTGGGAAATTGAATAATTTGGGGAGAACAAATTGAACAAATTGTTCAATATCCCAGCATCAATTAGGGAGGATTTACTGTATTTTGTTGAGTCAGATGCAGATTTTCTAAAAACTATTTGGGGAGAACAAATTGAATAAATTGTTCAATTTCCCAGCATCAATTAGGGAGGATTTACTGTATTTTGTTGAGTCAGATGCAGATTTTCTAAAACCTATTTGGGGAGAACAAATTGAACAAATTGTTCAATTTCCCAGCATCAATTAGGGAGGATTTACTGTATTTTGTTGAGTCAGATGCAGATTTTCTAAAAACTATTTAGAAGTAGCGGTAACTACCGCAATAGCAAATTTTTCAGTTAAAGAAAATGTAATTATTACATAATTAACGATTACTGTGTTACTTTGTTCTCCCCAAATTGTTCAATTTCCCAGCATCGATTAGGGAGGATTTACTGTATCTTGTTGAGTCAGATGCAATTGTCAACAATTATAAAAACGAGCCTCAAGGCTCGAATAATCATATCTCCTCTTTCCAGATTGTCCATTTTTGTGCGCAATCTGAGCATCAATAGGGGAGAATTTACTGTGCTTTTTCACAAAACAAATGATCACTGTTTCGTTTCTTTCTTATATTCCAACACATTTAAAACGTTGTATTATAAATTAACTAATGAGACGGCATCTAATGGACGAACAAATGATCAAGAAAGCATGAAACGTTTCCATTATCCAGCATTTTTACTTAGGCATAATATTTTTAATGCAATTCGACTGTCGCGAACTGTACTAACAAAAGAGAGGCTTTTATAATGGAATGCGTTCGAACCCGTCAATATATGTCGTACTTACAATGAAGAATTTTCGGTAAGTCGAGTGTCCCTCGAAACCTTGAAAGTTGCGGGGTCCTTCGACGCGGGAAACTTTCGATGGTCCTGGAACTCCTTAAAGTTCTGAAAACTATGAGAATGGTGGAGATAAGTTACGAGTTCGAGACGGAACGGATGGATATAAAAATGAATATCGGGTAAAGAGAAAAGGGGCTTAGCAGTGTAAAAGAAATTATTGAAAAACTTCAATTTCGCTCGGTTCAATATCCGATCGCGTGGCGTCTGTCTGGGAACGAAACTAAATATCACTGTCTGACGAGGAGGCGCCATTTAGGCGCACAGTGAACCACGAAAGTATTCGAACGGTTTCAAATGAAGTCATCAAGAAGGCCGAAAAAGTCGTGGTAGCTTACCGTACAGCCAACAATAGCAACGATCAGCCCACCATGCTGATGGAAAAATTATTTCTCCCTTTCTCAGCTTTTTATTGTTTATTCACTACGATGTACAGGCCATCCCAAATATGTCTCGCAGTCCGAAAAGGAGTGATTCCTGAGGTCATTCGAAGTAACTTTCTCCTTTACAAAAATTTTCTCCGAGGCGTCGTTTACGAGTTATTAACGAAAAACACAGTGACCAATGAGAGGTGAGCTTGATCGGTGCGAGGCGGCCCAGCCAACGAGCGCACGGAGCCCAGTTCCGCTCATTGGCTCGGCCGTCTCGCGCCAACTGATCTCGCCTCTCATTGATCACTGTTTTTCGTTGATAACTCGTAAACGAAGCCACGGATTGCATTTTCGCTAAGGAAAAAGTTACTTGAAATAACCCACCATTTCCGGATTGTGAGACATTTTTTGGACACCTAGTATACGAAGAATCTTTACAAAATGCCATTCGTTTTGTGTATTTTATGAATCATTGTAAAAATTACCCATACACAGACATCGTCCTTTAGGGGTTCAGTGATTGAGGTTTTAAAAAATTTACTTACATTATGAATATCCTAATGCTTTTATTCCAGCAATAAATCGTACATAAGTGTTCTGATTACTCACGTAAATTTGAGGACGATACATTAATGTTAACAATTGTTATAAAATATTTCTTTCGCCAATATGAAAGCGGCGAAAGTACTCGAAGCACATAATGTAGATATTAACCCTTATCGGATGTCAGATATTTGGGCCTAATGTACAATGTCGCGTGGGATGTGACATACGTCCGATAAGGGTTAACATGATCAGATGATGTAGCATAATCTCTTCGATCAGTATCTGCTGTGATTATAGGCAAAGTGATAAAACGTGTAATAACTATATGTCAAAAAATCGTCAACGAGTGTCTCTTTTATTACAGTAAATTCTCTCTAATTGTCCTTCAACTTCTAAACAAAAATGGTTGATTTGGTAAGAGGTGATCAATTATTCGAGCCTCGTGGCTCGTTCATATAGTCGTCGATTATCAATAACTACAAAAACGAGCCGCGAGGCACGAATAATCGTATCTCCTCTTCCCGAATTGTCTATTTTGGCTTACAAGCTGAGAGACAATTCAAGAGAATTTACTGTAATTGTTAAATGGCATAATGAGGGCAAAATTATTGGGTAGAACTAAGTCTACCGCCTGTAGAATTATAAAAAGATCAGAAACCTGGTGATTGTTATGCAACGAGAGTCGTTCTAGGCGGCCTACAAAACTGGCGAAGCGGTAGGAGAATACAATTATCGGGAAAATAAAAAACGATCCAACTATTTCTGCTTCAAAATTTGTTGGAATGATCATTCGTATGTTCGGAAAGGACGTTCATTTTGAACTTAGCCGAAGAATAAAACTTGAAGAAGAAATTTATGGTCGTGTATACCTTGCAGAAGCTGTTCATAAGCAAAGTGAATAAACAATAGAGTTCGAAGTTTGCTAAGACATACGTTAATACAGAGAACGAGTTTTAGTAACATATTATATTCTTTGACGAGAGTAAATTTAACATATTTAGGCCTGATGACTATTATCAATAATGATGTGGGTGTGTATAAGTATTTGTGAAACTTGTTATTATTGATGAAATAATAAGATTTGAAATAAACATAAATATTTACAACTATTAAAAATTTGTTTGTTAAAATGCGATGAAATTAGGTGTAATAGATTTTTAGACAATTTTTAACTTCAACCCCACATGTTGGGGATACCTCAAGACCGCAAACGTTTTCAGTATTTGTAGGAAATTAAAAAACGATTAATCAAATATTTGATAAATTCAAAAGAAGTGTTAAAAAATCAAATTTTAAAGGACATTCGCAATAATATTGAAAAAGATGTTTCTGAAGAAAGTGCATACGGCAGACCAAGAAAGTATTCACATTTTGCGTTTTTATGAAAAATGTGTAGTTGTCGAATACTTTTGTTGCCTTGTATCGTCGATGTTTCCAAGAAATATTTTATGAACGTTATTAACATTGATATATCGTCTTCTTTTACATGTATAATCAAGACACTTACAGCTTACTGCTGAAATAAAAGTACCGTGAAATCCGTAACGCAAGTACATTTTTAAAAATCCCAGATCCTTATTTTGTAACCCTTCGAATGCTTTCGTTCACGGTACCTATATCACTAAAACTTCTCTTCGCTGTCACATCCGTGAATAACATAACAAGGTGATAACGTTCGATTTATAAGAAAATTGGAGCATTTTGCAATTGGACTATTGCATCACTGTAAACAATCAAATCGACCATTGAGCTTGCAAATATGTAAAATTTTCCAGTACAAGTCTTTTTTATCTAAAATTTTATTTATGTAAAAATACAAATGATTTTCATTGAGCATTTTATAATTAGAATAGAAGTGTAAATCGTCATCAACGCTGTCACATATCTGAACAAAAATTGTGTTAATTCTTTAGGGACAGGTCCCGTACGTTGCATAGTGATTTAAAACGCGATTCGAGCACAGCAAAAAATAATTGTTATCTTTATATTTCTTTCTACGTAAATATATATTAGAAGTATTCATTTCTTTCTTATATCACACATTATTCGTATTTATTTAGGATTATTTATCACTCGTTTACTCAAGTCAATAAGAAAGCAGAAGGTTTCAGAAAAATTGGAGGTTAAGCGTAGAAAGTATTGTAATAATTTGATTTTTCTGTTATTATGATTTCCTTCTGTGAAAAATGTCATTCAAGGAGCTACTAATCATGTCTATATCGTATTTCATAAAAAACAATATTGCCGTTTTCAAACAATTTTACCGTGTAATAAACGTTATATCAATTGTATTAATTCGTAGACATGCAAAGCGATCTTAATTTTATCGAATCTCTGATTCATGATCTTTTCACTGCTTTCAGCATTATATTTGACTATATTTTAACTATATTAGAACCATACCACAACCATATTCTTTATTACTAGAAACTTATGTGTGTGGGACATGATTTATTAACACTTTGACGGCCGCACCAAAAACGCGTCATAAAATCGTATCGACTCGGAATGCTCGAAGTACGAATTAGTCACCGGCGCAGCGCATAAGCGATACGTCCCCCATGCAGTTGGCTACGATAGTAAAGTGAGCGTGGCCAGCATACAGGGTTAATCTCGCTAGGCGTTCACCGGAGCGGGAGAGTTAATTATCCAGTGTTAACGCGGAGGTGTCTCCCACTGTTTCACCTCCCGTTCCCGGTGGCCAATACTTAATCGTTCCCTCCGAGCGAAGTTTTAATTTCCACTTAGACGATCGCGGCGGGCAGCTTTGTGGCGAGTCCTCGCAATCAGCGTTGACAATTTGATGCGCGGAAGCCGTCCGGAGGAAAAGGAGGATCGTCAGACGGTTTTGTGCATAGGACGCCCGGAGGAGTCTTCAATTAGCGTGATTGAGGCGAGCCGAGGCGTATTTAGTGCGGGCGCCGCGCCGCGTTGAAAAGTTCCTAGCGAAATTGCGGCGGATCGACGGAGACGCGCGAAAGCGGTCGGTCTACTTGATAATGAACGACGGATCGATTCCTCGATGGCGCACGAGATGCCTGTCTAGGACGTTCCCCAGCGATTCTAACGATATATTCTTCTGGCCGTCACGAGGACTCGGAATTCCCGCGGAAAGGAGAATCGTTCGGGGAAATCGTTCTCTTTTTCCCTCGGTAATATCGCGCAGTTCCACGCAGAATACACGTCGTGATGGCGCGCCACGAATCGCAGAATGAATTTCTGAAGAGTAAATCTTCCGCGATATCTTGTTCCGCGCTCGTTAACGCGCATCAATTTCCGGGAAAATATCGGTGCAAGTTCGACGTAAATGGGACAACGGAGTTGCGATTAAACGAGCCGTTTGTGCGCAATGGAAGTCGCCGCTATAATCGAAATTTTGATTGTAATAGGACCGGCTGATCGAGTGCTACGTTGACCCTTTTGTTTGCGCAGATGATTCTACGCCAGCGACCCGACCAGTTCGGTATTTTTTTCCGACTGAAATTGCGCATACCGATGAATAAATCTAAATAACAAACATGTTTTCGGCACATTTTGTGATCGAAAAATGAGTTTACGCAGAACGGCACATTGTGAAGAACAATTTTCGCAGCTGTACGTCGCTGGTTCGAGTGGAACAAAGTAGACTCAGTCTGCAATATTTAAATTAAAATATTTTATGGAAAATTGTGAGAGAAACTGATGAATCAATTTCAAATTATTTCGTTTAATAAACACCATTCGGAACATTGGAACATCGGGAAATATTATCGTAAGAGTTATGTGTTAGAAGAAAGTGTTTTCAACTTCATAATTTTCTCACATTGTTAAAAGAGATCGCATTATCCTAGAGTCTAATCATTCTGGTCTAATCAATTCAATACTGCGAATTTTATGCATCTGTGGGAATAATGTATGCGGTAGTGGCCATATACTTACGAACATTTGAGAAATAGTATAACTTTTTTTAAAACTGGAACAAACGATTTGAATTTTTATTTGGATGATGGAGGTACTGATCTGCAAGACAATGACTGTATTACCTTTCTTAAATTTTGCTATTGCTTGGAACGACAACAAAAATAAAAAACTCATAACGAAAATTTGGAAAATATGTTTTATAGATCTTGGAAACTGAAATGCGTACTGAAACTTTCAACGAAATCGCACAAAGTCAAGTTACAAGCCTTAAAGGATTTGAAAAAGTGCAAATTTCTCACACTTGTTGGTCGAAAGTGTCAAAACTCGGGACAAAACTGCGATTCTTGCGATCTCTAATTGTTTACAGTTCAAAATAGATTCGACACAATAACTAATTTTTTTAGGAAAAATGTATTATTAAAACGATGACTTGAGATTTTTTCTAGACATTTTAATTTTGTACGCGGTAATTAAAAAAAATAGAAACCAATTTTTTGATGTTTTTCGCCCGAAAAATCAACTTGTGCTGAGATTATTCATTTGATTTTTCATTACGTAAAGATATTACGTGATATTAAACATTTTACGACGATAAACAATATAAATTTCTAAACAGCAAAAAATCGCGTTTAGCGATATATTCGAAAATACTGATACAGCCGGGAAATATTCGAAAGTCGTTCACACGTAGCAGCAACAAAATGTTACCTTTTCCACGCCAGATATACAGTTCATACCAAGGTCAACCGATTTCAATGCAATTTTGAGTACGCATACAAGTTACCAAGATCTCCAAAACACATTTTTTAAATTTTCGTTACAAGCTCAGAAAAGAAAGTTCAAAAATACGAGCTTTTATATCTTTTATCATTTCAATTAATATAAAAATTTGAAAAACAGTATCTCATGGTCTACCATTTAAAACAAAATTCGAGTTATTTGGTCCAGTTTTAAAAGAGTTATTCCATTTTTCAAGTGTCCGTAACCGTCGCTGTAGGTGAAACATAGAATTATGAAAGAATTAAAAGATACTAAAAACGCGTTGCTACGTTAATTAAAACTTATTGAAATTATCTAAGAGAGAAACACGATCGCAGTTGTAATGCAACTGATGCAGACAATTTTTATTTTACATAACGATCCACAGTTCAACGATGAAATCTCATCTTTTACCGAGCATTTCCTAAATTTTCTGAACGCATTGTCGGTTCGCCAAGGAATGATCCGTTTGCAACATTCTCCGATAACCGTGAAGCGATCGCTTCTTGCTGACGCACCGATGCAACGAGGTAGATGAACTTACAATTCGTCTCGCTCCGATCAAAGTTGCACAGTGAAGCGATGCAGGTAGCTCGTCTGAGGGACCCGACTTAGCGCACAGTATTTGAAAATCGAGGATTCCAGTCGTAGGTTATCAGACTGTACCGCGCCCAGCCACTCTGTTACAAGGAACTGAAATCCAAACTCCGTTTGATGTCTGCGCCTCAGGTCCAACCGCCTTGCCGCGCCGTAACTATTAATGAGGCTGCAACAGACAAGCCGGTTAATCGACGGCGGGGATTTTCTAATCAAACACAACACTGTTGGCAAGCCAGAGGAAATTAGTCATTAACGTAACGTAACACCTATCGTCCTCGAGCTGCTTAACTTCCTCCCTAGCAGGCCAGAAGACAATGTTAGGCGACCAACAGCCTCGGTGAATTATTATTGCAAAGTACGTTGACTTCCTCCATGTGTCACTGCGCGTTTCACGCAACTCGTTCCCGCGTCTTTTGAGTTTACTTGTACTCATTGGGTTTTTCTCGTCTTCTTCGGGCGATTATTGAATTGTTGCTTATTGATATGTACGCAAAGTTTGGCGGTTATTGACTGAACTCTTCGAAGGATTGCTTTTAAACATACAAGATGTCTTGTTTAAGAGCAGGATATCTCGGAAGGAGTTATAATTATTTAAAAAATCTTCCTACAAAAGTTGTTTGGTAGGATGGGCTACATTATGTGATATTAACCTTTTAAGTATGGCCGAATTCTGTACAGAGTATGATACTGTATATTCTGTCTGTGTATACAGGGTGTCCCAAAAATGTCTCGCAATCCGAAAGTGGCGGGTTCCTCAGGCCATTTGAAGCAACTTTTTCCTTTACAAAAATTTTCTCCGAGGCACCGTTAACGAGTTATTAACGAAAAACAGTGACCAATGAGAGGCGAGCTCAGCTGGCGCGAGGCGATCGAGCCAATGAGCGGAACTGGGCTTCGCGCGCTGGTTGGCTGGGTCGCCTCGCGTCAGCCGTACTCGATTCTTATTGGTCACTGTTTTTCGTTAATAACTCGTTAACGGTGCCTCGGAGAACATTTTTGTAAAGGAAGAAGTTGCTTCAAATGATCCGAGGAACCAGCCATTTCCGGATTGCGAGACATTTTTGGGACACCCTGTAGACTGTTGTAAATCGATGCGAAGACAAAAGAA